CGTCCGGCGACCTAATTACAAGGTAGTTAACGCTAACTAAGTAGTTTTCAATGTGCAGGTTAGTGACCAATCACCACGTCACGATCCTCAAGCGGTCCAACTGGATATTTGCTCCGGTGGAAACAGACGCACCGGCGCCGTTTTGTTCTTAGTTCCGGTTGGATGGAAGATAAAGGATGGTAAAAGCATGTGCTACTTCACTCAGAGTGGGACCTTGCATTTTAAAATAATATTCATATTGAGACGGATTATATTGACTTTTTCTCAAATGTAACATAAAATGAAATGCAATAAAATAAAATAGAATAAAAATGTTGGCTGCACTGCACTATACTATAGGCTAAATGAGCAGATCCTGGTTCTCTATGCTCTTTGTAAAATGAAAATAAATGTATTCCTATGTATTCCTATAAATATCGATATTTTCAACTGAGCAGAAGCAGACATTTGTATAGGGGTGGTCAGATGGGGTCACTGAAAATCTTGGGGTGGTGCAACAGGATCAAAAGCTGAACTTCAGGAATTTGATTATGCTATTGGAGTAGGTTAGATAAAACTGTCAGTGCCAAAATGGAGGTACTGATATACTTTTATTTTATTTTATTTTTTACATTTACATGACTAATTCTTTGATGGTTAATGGAATTGCACTTGTACAGCACTTTTCTAGTTTCTAGTTCTGACCACTCAAAGCACTTTTTACACTACATCTATTCACCCATTCACACATACACGTTCACCCATTGGTAGCTGAGGCTGCCATACATGGTACCAACTGCTACTCAGTAACCATTCACATGCTCTCACACACCATTGGAACAGCCATCAAGAGCAATTTGGCGTTCAGTATTTTGCCCCAAGGATACTTCAACATGCGAATACTTCAACTTTTGACTGTAGGAGCAGGGGATCAATACGCTGATCTTCTGATTAGTGGACGACTACCTTCTGAGCCACATCCAACCCATGATGTGCATAGATTAGTATACAATTAACATTTTGAGTTCCTCAAAAATCCTGTTTTAATGTGTTATGTGTATATACAGGTACATGTGTTAGGTAAATTATTGTTTTTAAATATGCTGGCTGTCCTTTCCCTTAAAAAGGCAAATATACAGCTTTAATTTGAAGGGGTATATTTATTGTAAGGAAGAAAACATTTACTGGGAGACTCATACCCATGGAGCCCATTTTCATTCAGATATCTTGAAGTGAGAGTTCAAGGGACCTCTTTGAAAATGGCCATGCCAGTTCTTTCTGCTTGAAACATCACTTTGGAGCTACGATGTGCAGGATTTTTCATGTTATTCATGCCAGTTTTTCCCCTAACCAAAAATTTGCCCAAATTTGGAGCATTATTTAGCCCCCTTCCCGACAAGCAGTGCATCAAAAATGAGCACGCACAGCCTCTAAAGACAGTAACGTCGGCTAACGTTCATCAACGGGACCATGGTACCCCTGCCCACCCCTAGGGGGCGCCACTGCTACTGAGCACCAGTTGATGTAAAAAAATTCATTAAAATTGGGATCTCGGAAATAATGGACGTGTGAATAAATTGATTATTTTGACATTAATCTCATGATAAGAAGGATGGTTAGCTATTAGTATTTACTCACTCCAAATACATTTCTCAGAAATGTAAATCAAACATTTTGATCATTTTCTAGAGTGATTTTGTATAATTTTAAGTCTTTGTCTATAATAATAATCATGATAATGATAATAATAATAGCCTAATGACAATGAGTCTAATTTTTTAAATAGCTTGGTGGTCTTGAGAGAAACAAGGTTTTTTTGTCTACCAAAAACATGGCACCATCAGTTGATGTTTTCTCTGGTAATCTTGCTCCATTTAACAATTTCCTCCTGGCTACTTAACTCGGTGGTAAGTGTTTTCCATGGCAGAAGTGTGCCCGTAATTCATTTCCAAGGCAACACACTGAAATCCTTTTTGCATGGATACCGCTGAGCCTTTAGGTGCATGTGTTGACAGGACAGCTGCACCTGGGGAAGAAATGATTTTTCTTTCCTGGAACTAATTTTGGTTGCGTTCAGATCAGATATTAACGTGATATGGTCAGGGAGAAGGCCAGCTACGAACTGGAGGTTTGCTTACTATTTTTCTGCTGTAAAATGTAATGTACATCACCGGAGTGAATATTTGGATGGGAGAGGGAATATTCTAATGTAATTTTCTCTGACTGTTGGAGCTGATGGCACCTGCCGATGCGGAACTGGACCTGATACCTGCAAGGATGACGAGAAAAACACAACTGCGGGAGTGAAGATGAATCCTTAGCTACTCTTCCTCTTAAAATATCTGCATGAAAAGAAATCTCATAGTCTGTTAATAACACTTTTACACTCCTCTCCTCAAGATTTCACTGATCACCAGACAGGCCTTGAACATACTGCTGACATGTAAATGTGTTTGAGACTTGCTGCTGAACATGATGTAGCTCTGACGTATTGGGAATATAACAACGCTTCCCATAAAGGAAAACAATTCTTTTGCACTTCATGTACGGAATCTGAGTTAAAAACATCAGAACAGTAGAAACTTGGGAATCTCCAACACTCCTGCAACAAAGAGGGAATTTCCACTGCAGGGCACTGATGGTCGGCGGGGCTCTTAGGATCTAATCCTCGTCGTAATACGATGGATAAGGTGAGAAGAAAGTTTATATTTATTTCATGAAATGAGTTTTGTTTTACTGATGATACAGAATGCTTCATGCAGTCTATCTATCTATCTATCTATCTATCTATCTACCTATCTATCTATCTATCTATCTATCTATCCATTTATCTAAAGTAGGCCTTAGTTATGTAAATAGGTAAATGGGCAGTGTTAGGGAAGCTACTTTGAAAGCATAGTTTGGCAAGCTACCAATTACCTCACACAGGAACAACTTGAACTTACAGGTGATTATGACAAAATACAATATAAAAGTCATCTGCCAGCAAAAAATCCCCTTCATTTAGTTTATTATAAAAAAGTGTCCACTTTTTCACAGGTCATACATAACGCCCAAAATAAAATACTCCACTTTTAATGGGAAAGTGCAAGAAAAGTCAGCTTTGGTTTTGTAGACACCTGCCTACAGAAACTAGAGTCCAAGTGGGGGCATTGCATTACTTAGTTAACCTCTAAAACAGCATGCAGCAACTCTTCTTAACATTTAATTGTGGTCAAAAGGGGTTCAATTACAGTAGAGAGGTAATGCGAAAGTGAAAAAAAAAAAAGAAAAAAAAAAACAATCCTTTGCTTTCATGGCCCAAAATATGTTGTGAACTTGTGAAGTTAAATACTTAACTGAACTGAACTACCAGCAAGCCTCTGCAAAATGTAGTTAAACAGAGCCTACTAGTTTAATTTAATGTACTTCACCACACCCCAACACTGTACACAAGTTGATAGTTGCAAAGAATTAATATGTACCTATTCGATAATTGCAAAAAATGGTGACTATATATTTATGGGTAAAGCATCATCAGTAAAAGGCATCCTCTGTTTAGATATTCTACCAGCATTAAATGTTGTATAGCGTCAATAAAATAACCAGGAGATGCGTAATGTTTTCAAAAAGTAGGCCAGTAGAAGACTTTTCTTTTTCACAAACTTAAAGTTACTTAAGGAGGCATCTAAGGAGAAAATCAAGTTTAAGTATAAATTTCTTAACTAAATATTACATGCTAAAATTAGCAGTATTGGGTTATTTTAAGCAGATGTACGTGTCCTCAGGTCAGTGTTAGAAATCGTACTATCAGGGCACTGGGGGAGAGGGTCACTGTTACCTTACAGCCAGGGGTCAGAGCTAAAAAAAGCTGGTCGGGTAAACTATGGAGCTGATAAGCACAGGAGGCCTTCACCTGCAGCGCAATATTGTTAGTTTTAGAGGTCATTCCTCTCTCACTGTTGCTAATTTAAGACATGTTACTAATTTTACAAACATATACGTAACTCTCTCAGGTCTTTGAAGTTCCCTCATTGAGCAACTCTTTGGCATTGGATGCTGCTTCTCTAAATAAAAGTTTGATGAGTTCAGATCACGAGGTTCAGGTTCACGTTTGTTTGATTTATCTGTTGGTGGGCTGCTCGGGGTCACAGGTCACACCTTGCCACATGAGCGCAAAGAATCATTTACCAAATTTATCTGAACTCCTTTTTGCGAGGTTAAAAGGCCATCTGATGAATGGGTATGCAGGTCTTTACACTGATGCATCCGTGATTATTGTGAGGTTATGATTTAGTGTTATATTTTATTTTATTATATTTTATTTTATTCCTACAAAACAAGCAAAACCTAACTTTTTTTTGAAGAGTTATTATGGCAAATATAGCAGCAGTTTAACTAAAATACAGGCAAGCAACACAAGATATAGTACGGAAATTATATCGCACAAAATCCATGTTAGATTGTGCAGTACATTTAACACTGGTTAAACTATTTAAAAAGTCATCATGAAAACATAGGAATCATAAATCCTATAGTTCAGACTGCCATTTATTTTGATTAAGTGAGGCATGTATTAAAGAAGTCAGCATCTCCCTTGGTTATTAAGATTTATAATTGTGTATATTCAATCATGATAGAGTTTCATGAAATATAAAAACATATTATATATCTCCGTTTTAATGCTCAGCCAGTCAATTATATTTATAAATTTTCATCCCTGCAATGAAACTTCTGTCCATAAAACTTAATTCTTATTTTGTAGAAATGAGGTCACATAGATTTTTCGCTGTGTGTGTGTGTGTGTGTGTGTGTGTGTGTACATGCGCGTGTGATTCCCGGTGGCCAGATGGGGTGAGTTTGGGAAGGGGTTGGCATTTGCGTCTGGTGTGGCCAGCCCACTTCACCTGAGCATAAAAACAGCTGAAGTTCTCATTCAGTGCTACTCACACTTCAGTGACTCTGCACACACACAAGGTGGACACACACTCACCACACACCTAGAAACACACACAGAGGCTCATTTAGCTCAACCTGTGAAGATGCCGTGTGTCAGCTCTCATCTTGACCAGATGGTGAAGATGCCCAGTGGCTACAGCTCTGTGGTTGATGAAATCATCATGGTAAGATTTGATTTCCTGTCTGTTGGGACTTTGTAGAGGTTTAAGTCATTTGTTTTATTTCGGATTTTTTGCCATGTTGTTTCAGAAGAAACTCAGGGTGAAGCGCTTGATTGTGTTAGATTCAGATGCAACTTAGTCCTGCACTTTACTGAAAATATGGTATAACAGAACTCAGAGTCCTCTGCTCTTCATTTCATTGTTTTGTTTTGTAAAGTACTGATTTTTTTCCTTCTGTAGCATCTCATTTGTCTGTGCTCTGATTCCCTTTTTGCTCATACCCCTTCTGATTTTCCTTCAGCTTCTGATCTGCTCTGCTCTTCTCTCCTCTCGCTGCAGGTAGAACAGATCCTGTCAGAGTTCAGGCTGAATAAGGAAGAGCTCAAAGAAGTCATGAAGAGGATGCAGCGTGAGATGAACAGAGGGCTGCGTTTAGAGACACACGAAGAGGCCAGTGTCAAAATGCTTCCAACTTATGTCTGCTCCACTCCCGAGGGATCAGGTAAATACTCATTCTGGCATAAGATTTCTTCCACATTTTTTTGTCACACAGATGTCACCAAGATGTAACCTACTGAGTACCACCTGTGCAGGTAAAGCCAGTATGTGCACATTCAGACATAGTGCGTGTTTTGACAGAGGTGGGTGATTTCCTGGCTCTGGACCTGGGGGGAACGAACTTCCGTGTGATGCTTGTGAAGGTGGGTGCAGATGAGGAGAGGAGCTGGAAGGTGGAGACCAAGAACCAGATGTACTCCATCCCTGAAGATGCCATGACGGGCACTGCTGAAATGGTAAGCAATAAGTGTAGTTTCTCATCACCTTTTATAAGGAGTTGTCCACTTGTAGTGCTGATAGTATCTCCATGTCTCATAACTTCTCTTCCTCTCTCTCTCTCTGTGCAGCTTTTTGACTACATAGCAGAGTGTATGTCAGACTTCTTGGACAAACATCATATCAAGCACAAGAAGCTTCCTCTGGGTTTTACCTTCTCCTTTCCTGTACGACATGAGGACCTTGACAAGGTAGGGTATCACACTGCACACTAGACATACCTTGGGTCAAAGCTGCCAGATTTATAAAAGGTCTGTATGTTTTATAATGTTAATACATTTAAGGTTTGTCTTTTTTCTTCCACAGGGTATTCTGCTGAACTGGACCAAAGGCTTCAAGGCTTCTGGAGCAGAGGGGAACAATGTTGTGGGTTTACTCAGAGATGCTATCAAGAGACGAGGGGTGAGTTACTGCACATGAAAATTGTTTTAATAGACAACACAAGACTGATTTGTAGCTCCTGCACACAGCTGTATGACTCTAAATGCATTGTGATTTGTTGTAGGACTTTGAAATGGACGTGGTTGCCATGGTGAATGACACAGTAGCCACCATGATTTCCTGCTACTACGAGGATCGCAGCTGCGAAGTTGGGATGATTGTTGGTGAGTAGTTATAAACACATGCAAGTATAAGTGCAGAGACATGTATGCTAAAGCATATCTAAGGGTTATATTTTGCTTTTTTAACCAGGTACTGGCTGTAATGCATGTTACATGGAGGAGATGAGGACCGTAGAGCTGGTCGAAGGGGAGGAGGGCCGGATGTGTGTGAACACAGAGTGGGGGGCGTTCGGAAACAACGGGGAGCTGGAGGAGTTCAGGCTGGAGTACGACAGAGTGGTGGACGAGACCTCGATTAACCCCGGGCAGCAGCTGTGAGTGCATTCAGCCAAACATGCAATCAAGTTCACACATAGGAAAGCTCGTCACAAGCTCTTCGCTTGTTTGACCTAACTTCATTTACTGTGTGCACATGCACTCAAGTGTTCAAGCTCAGAGTAATGTCATTAAAGGAGCTAGGAAATTCACACTGCAATTTAAAACGTGCCACACACTCCCCCCCTCTTTCTCTGATTGTTTTTTTTTCTGAATTAATCATCCTTTTGTGACAACACTCACCTGAGTCTCACCTGAGGTCTCTGTGTGGTTGCTAAGCTACCAGTTATTTTTCCTGAGGATGTTTGTGAATGGCCAGAGCCCTCATACGTCAGTGGTCAGTCAGTGTGTGTGGGTGTCAGATTAATGACCCCTCTCCACTGCTTGCCATAGTGCCTGTTGGCCTAATGGCTGTTTACCTTTAGCACTGGCAACCCCTTTAACACAGACAACTGCTGAGCCTCTTAGGCATTGACGTTGTCATCCTCATCTGCCCTCCTTCTTTGACAGAAGAGAAAGTTGTTTGCTCATGTGTTTTGTGACGTGCATGTCCTTCCTGTTTCTTCAGCATCCTCTCCTGAGTTCACTTGTCCCACCCTTCCTCTCAATATTTATTCAAAGTAACCTGTTTCTTTGTTTGTTCTCGCCTCCTGTAGATACGAGAAGCTGATCAGCGGGAAGTACATGGGCGAGCTGGTCAGGCTTGTTCTGATGAAGCTGGTGAATGAAGACCTGCTGTTTAACGGTGAAGCGTCAGAGCTGCTGAAGACACGTGGCAGCTTTGAGACGCGCTACGTCTCACAGATAGAGAGGTGAGCATCTATGTATACAACAAAAGATAGTGATCTATGTCGACAGTTTTCATGAGCACAGAGGGAAAAAAAAAACATATATATAATGAAACGCAAACAAGTGTAAAGTTGTAAAGCCTGTTGTGCTTGTGAGCGTATGCTGTTGACATAAGCTTATATAATGTATTATAATGTATAACAGAGGACTAAAGCTGCTATTATAATAAACAAATTACTAAATGAAGTCATAATGAATGAAAGAAATTAAATAAAAGCTTCAAATATTAAATTAAATATGCAGGTTCAGTTGAAAATAAATTAACATGAACAGAAATAGAAAAAAATTAATAATAAATAGAATTTATTTAGCTAGTTGACAGTTGACTTATTTTATATTCATTTATTTTCATATTTAATTATTTTTGTTTATTTTTCTATTTATTCATTTGTTGAGTCATCTATTTGTAGCTTGATTTAATATCCAAATCATGAGTACAAAAAAAAAGAAAAATAGAAAACGTGGTTCTACTATAATAGATAAATAAATAACTCAATAAATTGCTAAATAAAATTATAATTAATGATAAAATGAGCTTTAATTTTCAAGTTTATGTGCAAGTTAATTTGAAAATAGTAAATAAAAATGTGCACAGAAACAGAAAAATAACTAAATAAATTAATATGTAAAAATAAATATATGATAGATAACATAGTTTTGTATTCATTTATTTTCATATTTAATTATTTGAATTGTTTTTATTTATTTTTCTATTTATTAATTTGTTCAGTTTTCCATTTGTAGCTTGATTTAATATCCAAATCATGAGTAGTAAAAAGAAAAAAATAGAAAACATGATTTTATTATATCAAAATGAATAAATAAATGAGTAAATTAAATTGTAAACAATGATGAAATGAGCTTTAATAAATAAAATAAATAAGTAAATAAATAAATATGCACAGAAATTTAAAAAAACAACTAGATACTTTAATAATAAATATAAATAAATATATATACTTTGGCAGATAACTTAGTTTTGTATTATGAACATAGTGGAACTAGAAACTTTTGCTCTTTTTAAATTGTCCTTTTGCTATTTATCTTTCAGTGACACTGGGGACAGAAAACAAATCTACAACATCCTGTCCTCGCTGGGTGTGCTGCCGTCAGAGCTGGACTGTGACATTGTGCGTCTGGTCTGTGAGAGTGTTTCCACTCGCTCCTCTCACATGTGTGGCGCAGGGCTTGCTGGTGTGATTAACCTGATGAGGGAGCGACGTTCTCAGGAGGCCCTGAAGATCACAGTGGGGGTTGACGGATCTGTCTACAAGCTGCACCCATGGTGAGGAATGCCCAATGTTTTAATTATCCTACATATAAAGCATATGCAATATGGTAATTATGTAATTAGATTTACCCAAAATGCAGAGCTTCCACATGTTGTTGACAGATGGACTGTTTTTTTAGACTAAATGTGTTTTTCTTTCTGTCTCAGTTTCCGTGACAGGTTCCACAAAATAGTCAGGGAGCTCACGCCACACTGTGAGATCACCTTCATCCAGTCAGAGGAGGGGAGCGGTCGCGGAGCCGCCCTTATCTCAGCAGTGGCCTGCAAGATGGCAGCGTGTATGCTGACACAGTAAGAGGAGCTGTGAAGCAAGCCTGAACTCTGATCTGAGAACACTGATGACATGCTCATCCACAGTCGGCAGCTCTGGCCTGTTTCAGGCTCTGAAGGATGTGTGTCAGCAAACGGGACACTCACAGCTGGAAGATGTACAGACAAGAACGCACCTTGTATTAAACTGTATTTGGTAGCGATAGGCCAACTTGTAGCAGTTTCAGTGGTTTTGAACCTGTGTATCACTGCCTGTTGATAGTGTTTGGGTATGCAAACAGCTCATTTCAAAAATGGCTGATGTATTTTTGATGATATATTATAAGACCTGTGCAAACTACTACTCAAGTAAAACACAAGGATGCTTTTTGTAAATGCTGTTGTAAACTAAATCAAATTCATTGCTTTACCATGTTGTAATTCCTGTTTGTGAGTAATGAAATAGTTCTCCTGTATTGTATATTTAAATTGTTATGTTTACAACTTTGTGTGTTAGCCAGTAGCATTTAGTTTTGAAAATTGTGAATAATGAAATGTGCTTTGGATGTGAATAATCTTAACTGTAAATAAAAGTACTTTAAATGAATGTTAGTGTTTTTTTGTTGCCAAATATGACCCAGATTTAATGCCACAGCTTAACTGGATTAGCTCATGTTTTTTAAGTCGTGTGAACCTGTAAAGAAATCTTTAAGTTGTGACTTACTGTCACTTTCTGTCTGCTAATGGGACAGGAAACAGTTGTCCAATGTGTCACGTTAAACAGCTGAGAGTGGGACCCAAAAGCGAGACTCGGAGACAGGAATCAGTTAAAGGTGCTTTAATTGAATGTTGTGGCTGGATGGCGAGGCAGTGCAGTGAGGCAGGGCGAAGGCAGGGTGGAGAGACGAGGTGGTGGGGCACAACGGAGAGGCACGGTGAAGGACGGGGGCGGATCCAGCAGGCGCAGGCAGAATGCAGGTGAGCGAGGAGGATTCCTGATCACAGGAGAAACAAGGTAAGTCACAACGAAACAGCAACTGGAAACACTGGCAACAAGATCACTGAAGGAGTCGAGAGTCAAAACACAGTATACCGCGTGGGAAACTGGACGATCTGACGACGAGTGGCATGAGAGACCGGGCTTTAACTGAGACTGATGAGAATGAGGAACAGGTGCGTAGCCTGCACACCTGCTGGCTCGCTGGACCCGCCCCTAGGAGAGAGAGAGACACAGACACGGGGGAGGGGAGACACATTGGGAACACAGACTCATGACACAATGTAAAACAAGAGACGTTTTTAGAGTGTTTCTCTGTTTGTAAGCGTTATTGCGATTTATTTCACTTGGTCCTAGATAATTTTACCATTTCTAAGCTGCTTTTATTTGATTACAGTCCTCTAATTTTCATTTTAACCGTTTTTAAAATCAGATATGTATGAAATAGAAATAGAGTAGTCCATATAATCTCCCTAATCTCATTGGCTGGATTTATAAAATCTTTCTTACATTAAAATATGCTGTGTAACATTGCACAGTGTTGTTACTTAATATTAGTGCTCATGAAACATACATATGATCTTTGAAGCTTGATTTGACCTCTGAGGAGTAACTTTACTTGGTTAAGTGGCTGTCAAATGTCAGAGGTCACTTTCCTCTGTCTCCTCTCTGCTCTTCATATCTCTATTTTCCAGCCCAGAGGAATCCTGGCTGCTTCACCTCTTATCAGGTACCTTCAGTGACACACAAAAAGCAGCCATGGCCATGTAAGGGACTGTGCTGCCCACCACAGGCTATTTTAGGAGGGTAGAAGATAAGATGGGTCGCACATAAAACCCACCCCAGCATCACACCTCGGCTGGGAGTCCACGTACGATCATTCAGAGATGGTAAGTCAGAATCCTGTTATTGTATGTAGATGGGTTATAGAGTATTTAGGAACAAATTTTGTTATTGACTGTTGCAGTGGTTGCAGTGCAAGGTCAGTGTGTAAACTGAATTAGTTTGTATTTATCTTCTCAGGCAAGCAAGAAGGCCTCCAATAAGAGACAGAGGGGAGGACAGAAGTCCTGCTCCAATGTCTTCTCCATGTTTGAGCAGTCCCAGATACAGGAGTTCAAGGAGGTACAGTGCAGCATCTTGTCCTGCTTTGAAACAGCTCCCTTTAAAACTTCTGTTGGAGGAACCTTTGAAGCAATTTGCCTTGTTTAGTCACCTCACTCCAGGGACGCTCAATTTGCTTTGCTCAGGGGCCACTTTAACAAACTGATAGACCAGGAGCTAGTTCACAAACAAATAATGATATTTATCGGTATATAATAAATGAGTTGCCTTCAATCCAGTCGCAGCAGCCCCCACACGTCAGGTGTATGCAGGGATGTTTCACAGACTGAAGAAATTCAGGGCTTAGACCTCTGTCAGGGGACCTGGGGGATCCTCCCCTCAAACTTAAAAAAAACCTCTATTTTGATGCTTTTTTATGCACTCTGGCACTTTTTTAAATTTAAAGTACAAAAAAATGTCCACTGTGAATCAGTTTACTTTCATCGTGAATTAGAAAATGGTCGGCAGGCAACCTGGCACCCTATTGTGAGCCAGATGTGGCACTTAAGTTGAGTAGCACTTAATCACATAGTTTCTCAAAGTGCAGCCCACGGGCTAGTGGTCCTAAAAATATCATGAGCATGACATGAAATGAATGCATTATATCTGAATCACCTGTGATCCACTTCAGTATTCTAAAGTTATTAATTTTAGTGGACAGATATTTTGTTTTTAAGTGCACATTTCCTGTGCGGCCCTCGATCATGTAATGGCTCCTTTATTTGGCACTCAGTCATCAAAACTTTCACTGTGATAAATAAATTGATAGATTAATTTAACTGATTGAACCACTGCTTTATCGGATTGTTTGGAGCTGCCTTATAAACAAAACTGCATGGACTGCATTGCAAACCATTTTATTTCAGACAAGAGATTAACGGTGTATAAGAATTTTGAATTTAGCTTGATTCTCTAAAGCGTTCATTTCTTTTTTGCAAAACCTACTTTTTGTCAACTTCAAACAAAAATTATGAAAATAAGATAAAGTCAGTTTATCAATATTCAGAAAAAATAGAACAACTCTTTGTACAAGAAGCCCTATAAAAGACAATGCAACATTCCCTTTAATTTTCAACAATAATGAATAGCGTAGGCCTACCTTGATTGGAAATGTACTAATAAAAAATCCTGAAGCACATTTATCTTTACAGTTCATTAAATATGCCTTGTATGTCTAGCCACCTGTTTTGACTGATGTCATTGAGAACATTCTTACCAGGGATAGACCGATATGGATTTTTTAGGGCCGATGCCAATACCGATTTTTTTCCATCATCCTTAGCCGATGACCGATTATGGACTGCCGATTTTCTTGAGCCGATTTTTGGGGCTGATACTGCTTTTGCTCCCTCAATTTACATCAAAAAAATGACACCATGATAACAAATATTACAGGTCTCAAGTTTAAAATAAGAAACATTTATGTAAGAGATAATGTATAATGAGCCGGTGAATACTGGGAAAATAACTCCCGACAGGGAAAGGGAGTTATTTTCCCAGTATTCACCGGCTCATTATACATTATGCCGCTTATTACACGGCTAATTATCAGTTAAATAAATAATGTTGTCTGCCTCTGCAAAGTGCATTAAAACCGACCGGATTCGACAACTTTTGGTGAAAGTTTTGTACTCACCCAGGCTTAGTGGACTGAACCTAGGCATAAAACTCGCGTAAAATGTCATTAAGCATAACTGCCGAGTGTGTATTCAAATCCGTCTTCTTTTGTTTTTGGCAGAGAAAGTCCGTAGGTATTCTTTTTCTTCAGCGGCATCCGTTAAAATCAGCCACTTCTGTTTGTTTTTTCCCTCGGAAGTTGTTTGACAGCTGCAGTGTTGCAGGGCAGCATCCCTAGCAACGCTGGGCTACATAGCAACTGTGTGTAATGACCGTTGCTACTAGCAGCGGTCATTACACAGTAATATCAGACCGCAGAATGCCGCTACTGACCAATCAGAATACAGCATTTAATAGAGCCGTGTAATAATGAACAGTAAAAAATACTAAAACAAGATCGAAAGTTGAGGTAGAACAGGTAGAATAGTATTATTATTATTATTATACATTCAAATAAAAAAAAAAGAGTTCAGTGCTCTTAAATTTTCCAGTAATGTCTTTATATAATAAACAAATATTTAAGCTGAAGCATAAATAAAACAACAACTACTGTACACAGTAGGATTTGCTGCATGTGCGCTGCAGGGTCTTCCGGCAACACAGAGCTGCCCGTGGATGCCTGTCTGTAAATCATGCCAGGGAAAATAAATCCGCGAACCGACGCGCGTATCGGCCGATGCCGATACAAGTAAAAAACTCAAATATTGGCCCGATATATCAGCCGGCCGATGTATCGGTCTATCCTTAATTCTTACATTTGGTTCAGGAAGAAATTATTTTAATTATATGCATGATGAAATACCTCCTTATTCAATATTTCTATCACCTTAATGAACGATAATCAGCCTGTGTGGAAACATGTAACTCAAAAGAGAAATGTTTCACACGTGTTTGTTTTATTTTAACTCCTCACCAGTCTATTCTTTTTTTTTTTTGTGCTTTATCAGGCTTTCGGTTGCATTGACCAAGACAGAGACGGTGTTATCAAAAAACAGGACCTAAGGGAGACCTATGGACAGCTCGGTAATTTTCACTTTTTTTAAAAATAAAAAAAAGTGTACTGTACTACTTGTGCATCTCTTGAATGTGTTTAAGTTAGTTCACTGTGTCGGTCTGTGTGTGTGTGTGTGTGTGTGTGTGTGTGTGTGTGTGTGTGGGTGTGTGTGTGTGTTTGGGTTCCAGGGAAGGTTAACGTCAAAGATGAGGAGCTGGATGAGATGCTGAATGAGGGGAAGGGTCCGATCAACTTCACTGTATTCCTGACTCTTTTTGGGGAGAAACTTAACGGTGAGAGCTTTCACTGATGTTAAAACAAACTTTGATTTTTAGCAGATGCTCAGTGATGCTCTCTTTTCCTTCAGGCACTGATCCTGAAGACACCATACTTGCTGCCTTCAAACTTTTCGACCCCAATGGGACAGGCTTTGTTAATAAGGATGAGTAAGACACATTGTATTCTTTAACTTTCATGTTATTCATATTTTTATATTTTCCGTAACAGCACCTTATCTTATCTGTCTTATTCCTGGTCTTGTTTATCCAGATTTAAACGATTACTGATGAACCAGGCTGACAAATTCACAGCAGAGGAGGTTTGTGTTTTCTCTACTTTATGGTGAAAGACTCTTAGACTATTCTTTAAGGTCATCATTTCTTACCAGGACAATTGTCACTTCATAAACCTCTAGGTGGATCAGGCCTTCGCTCTCGCTCCCATTGACCCAACTGGCAACATCGACTACAAATCACTCTGCTACACCATCACACATGGAGATGAAAAGGAAGATTCTTAAGAAGGACTGTGGTCAGGTCACATAGCCATCTAAACATGTGCAGAACTGTTTTTATACTGGCTGGTTATCATTAAAAAAACAATATTAATTGATCGAATAATATTGAAATATCTGATTCATTCAACATCAGCTTTTTAACATTTATAAATGCTGCAGTTCTGCATTAGAAACTGGCTTTTCTTGGTTTGCTGATGGGAATAAAATGTTCCTCAAAAGCTTCTTTGCTGATTGCAAGAACTCATTTTGTCAAGCAACACTGTATAAGACTGAAATTCTTTAATATCATTGTGATCCCAAAGGAAAAATCTATCATATGGAAAAAGTCTTATCTATGATTATTAGAAAAAAGGTTAAAAGAAGTTTATGGGTTGGGTTGGGAGAGAGCTACTGCCTCAAGTGAGGGTGTTCAAGAGTCTCAGGTTCTTGTTCATGAGTGAGGGTAGAATGGAGCGGTGATGTGGGCACTGTGCTGGACCGTCATGATGAGAAGGGAACTGAGCCAGAAGGTGAAGCTCCCGATTGACTGGTCCATTGACATCCCAATGGTCATGAGCTCTGGCTAGTGACCGAAAGAATGAGGTCCTGACTCATGGATAGAGAAATGTAATCTCATGTCACAGACCTTCTGACTATTTCTGTAAGCTGAAACCATTTCCCTCAGTTGAAACGAAGCTTTTATTT